TTTCGATAAGCAGGTTTTTTGCGGATTTTTAGACCCTTCTAGTATTTTGTGTTTTTCTCTGTCAAAACTTTGTCTAAACTAAAAAAGAAGGACATATTCGTGATCAGCGTCAAATAGCGATTCCAGAAATGTAAGTTTAAGTTAAAAACAAGAACTGCTGAAATTTTGAATTACCCGCGCCTTACATAGCATACTAATATGTTATTTGCGGAGGAGAATCACATCTTTAATCTAAATTTTTTTATTTTTCCAACAAATTGAGCTAGCTCATTACATGTTGGTTGAAGTTGAACAAATGTGAGAATAATAACTTTTACGTTGAACAAGTGTAAATATTCACAAATACAAGTGGTTATGCTCATCAGTCCTATTTATTTATCTTTTCGGTAGATTGAGATACAATGACAAAAAAAGCAAGCAGTTTTCAAGTATATCTCACATGTGCATTTGCATCTATTGGTGGTTTTCTATTCGGCTATGATACTGGTGTTATCAGTGGAGTACTGACAATGAATGATTTTCTTAAATACTTTGGTGGTACACGCGCTCTGGAACGACAACAGCTCGACAGTTCGATATCAGGCGCAATTGTGGGAATTTTGATCGCGGGATGTTTCGTTGGTGCACTGTTTGGGGGTCCGGCTGGAGGTAAGTAAACTATGCATAATCATCAAAATTCATCCCATTCCAATTTTTTCTTCTTTAGATCGTTTTAGTCGCAAATATTCTATTGTGCTATTTTGTTGGATTTTTATCCTCGGTGCTATATTGCAAACTGCAAGCATTCATATTGCAATGTTATTAGTTTCTCGTTTCATAGCGGGTAGATAGATACTCCTAATTTTCATTTGCTTTTCTATGCTTAATGCTAACTATAGGCGTCGGAATTGGAGCATTATCGATGTTGATACCCGTTTATCAATCAGAAATTGCACCAAAAGAAATCAGAGGACGTTTGATTTCTCTTCAACAATGGTTAATTACAATTGGTATTGCTGTCAGTTTTTGGATTAACTACGGTACGGTACATTCAGTCTCTCTTTTTTGTTTTATAAGGTAAATACGAAGGTCAACTTTACAAGGAAAGGTCCACATTATCTAGACGAGACTGGGCTCTACTTTTGAGAAGGAAAGAGATGTTGAATAAGTATCTGGACTCTCACATCCCGTCGTCTGTCGACTAGGACCTAAAGAGGTCAATATTTCCACAAAGTTTGATTTATTCGAAATATTTTTCAGTGGAGACAGAAGAACTCTAGTGAATGTACTTACATGCTGGTACTTAGTCAAGTACCCTTACAATTTGTGTTCAACGTCCTTCCGCTTTTTGCAAGTAATTTGCAAGTAAACAAGCACCCACTCGCAAGTATATTCACTAGGGAAGAAAGTTATTCCTTCATTTTCCTTCCTTTCTCACTACGTAATTCCACCACTAGCTTGTCTTTGACGTGAGCGGGATCTGGACGCAAAAACTTTATTCTTGTCACTGTAAAGTCCATTTCTAGTGACTTTGTGATTTTCTACTGACAAGTTGGCGTGCGACAAAAAATGCGTTTTATTGCGTTAGGTTCGATTGACAAATTATATGTTTTTCTTGTAGGTACTGATACGCATTTGAGCGGTACCAGTATCTCATGGCGCTGGAATAATCAAATATCACGTGATGTAGAGGGCAGTAGAAATTTAGCTCGTAAAATCCTTCACGTTATAAACAGACACATACTGTTTACCACTGGCATTACAAATTATTCCTGGCTTAACTCTTGCGTTCGGGATTTTCTTTTTTCCATTTTCACCTCGATGGCTAATGGATCATGATCGCGACGAAGAAGCTACTAAAGTTTTGGCGCGAATTCGTGCTAATGGTAATACATCGGATCCGGTAGTGCAAGCGGAATACCTTGAAATCAAAGAAGAAATCGCACTTGAACGTGCAGAATCCGTTCGTTCTTATTTAGAATTA